AGTAAAATGCCCCGACCTGCACAGTCCAGTGGCAGGTACCTTGTCCCTCTCCCTGCAATGAGGAGACACGGCAGACAAAGCAGGTGGCTGCCTCACTGCCACACAGGTTCTCATTCTGCATGGATGCAGGTGTCCTGAAGTCTTTGAAAGGCAAAGAACTCCTTTGTGGGGGTGGGGAGAAACCCTCCCTCTATTTTTACACTATAGATTTATTTACACATACATAAGCCAAAGGGCCCTGCCAGCAGGTCCTGTAGTGCCAGGCTCTCGACTCCTCCTGCTCTAGTCCTACCATTTTGGTGTCCTGGCTCAGGAAGTCACCAGGAGTTACCTGTTTTTCCAGATTAACCCTCGCCTGGACGGGTGCATGAGGAGCTGGAACTGGCTGAATGGGGAAGACAGTGCCATCCAGGAAACCGTGAAGGCAAACACAAAAATGCAGTGTTTCTCTGTGACCGAGAGGGGCTCCTTCTTCCCTGGGAATGCCTTTGCCTTCTTCAGCCTCAACTACAGTAAGTGGGTGTCGCCCTGCCTGGGGCCAGCTGTGGTGGGACTTCCAGGAAGCTCTGCTGAAGTGTGAGCATCCATCTAAGTGGTTCCTACCTCAGTGTCAAGCCTGTTAGCCCACAAACTGGGACAGGGCTCAGCAGGGAAGGCAAGGCCCAGCTCCCAGGACAAGTATCTGAACTTCATAGAGTTAGCCATGGAAGAGGTGGACATGGTCCAATGGCTAGAAAGTGGTAGGATGGGCAGGCCCGGGGTAGGAGTTACCTGGAAGAAAATCCAAAAGGTCAACACTGGCTGGACGTGTTCAAATGCATTCAGCAATTCTCAGACGTGTGTCAGGCCTTCGCTGGCCAGCGACTTCATGAGGCTTAGCAATCAGAGGCAGAAAGAGCATGAAGACAGGAAGGCCAGTCTTTATCACCCTTGGAAGGGGCCCTGCGGCAGGCACTCGGGCCCAGATGGAGGAAAAAGCAGGAAGGGGTCTGGTGAAAGTGTGTTCTGTGGTGGCTCCATGGGAGGATACACGGAATCTACAGCCACCAGTCACTAGGGATGACCCAGGAAGCAGAAGGTTGTACACTCAGGACTTAGGCCGCTTTAAAGCAGAACCCATAATTTCTTAAACTGTAACAGCCTTTGAGGGTCATTTTGGGGCCCTTCAACCTCAAGTTCTAACAGTAATGACTTATATGAGCCACCATGCTGAGAAAACTCACCAAACAGGCAGGGTCCGGTGTCCCTTGTCAGACATCAACCAGGTAGGGCATACGCTTGGCCCCTTCCATCACAGCAAAGTGTTTTTATTGTTACAATCTGCGCTCATATACTCAACAAACTATTGAGAATTAACCCCTATACATGTCAGCTAGGAGAGGCTAGAGGAAGTGATCTGACCGATTGTGGGTGGGGCGGGGGAGAATAGGCCAGCCTCAGAGCCTCCGACACACCAGAGTGAGGCTGACCAACTTGATTGGCTCCCAGCAGCTCCTTCTAGTCTATGGAGTTCTTTGTGAAGGACAGACTTAAATATGAAGTCTGAAGGCCTCTTCTGGCCTCTCAGTCGGTGAAGAGCTCCCACATGGTGAGGAATACAGGCTCTTTGCCCTGGAAGAACCAGAATCCACCTGTCCACTTTAGTGCACAACCTTAGATGCAGATGAAATGTCACCCCAGCTGTGTCTTAAACATGCAGTATCCACATGTATTACATGGGGATGAGTTCATGCCATGAGGCTCTGGCATGCCAAGCCATGCCACCCAGAGCACAGACACACGTAGGGCTTGCTGGAGCGACATATCTCACATCTCTTTTTGGGTATGTCCTCCTAAGTTCATGCCCACTTTGCTTGCTTCGGAGTCTCCTGGAGCTAGCAGAAGGGAGGTAGCACATGGCCTGAAGCTGCGGTAGGTGCTTCATGAATTCTGCAGGGGGAGAGGTGGAAGCAAGGCAGTAGATGGCCCTTGGTGCTGGCCTTGTGGCTCCCCGGATAGGTCTTTGTTACCTGGAGGGCACCAACAGGGTACTTTGGAGTAGGGAATAGCCACCCCCAGTGCCCCAGAGTTGATAGTCTACATCCAGTGCTGGCGAGCTTCTCCTTTCTGTTGAGACACTGGCGGGTCTTAAAGGTACAGGCTTGTCGCATCCTCCCCCACTTGCCTTTACCAGGGGTCCCCTCCCAGGGTGTGCAGAGCTGTCCCTGGTGGCGCTCCGGTCTGAGTCACCGCTCACTGTTCTCACTCTTGCCTCTCTCCTGCTTGTATTGCCTTGTAATGTGCCGCTTTCATCGCAGCCCGGACCTCACTGGACGTGGGCACGGAAACCACCTGGAAAGTAGAAGTTGTGGCTCGGATCCGCCCTGCCACTGACACGGGGGTGCTGCTAGCCCTGGTGGGTGACAACCACGTCGTCCCCCTCTCTGTGGCCCTGGTCGACTACCACTCTACAAAGAAGCTCAAGAAGCAGGTAAGATTGAATGAAGCAGTTAGAACATGGAGCCAGCTTAGACTGGGATACCCTGACCTCCAAAAACTGTTTGACCCCCATTCTTCCCCTTCAAGAAAAAGTCCCAAGGCCCTGCCCACTCTCTGGGATATTGGCACATTGCACCTTTCCCTGCCCTGGAGACTCCTTCCCAGACACAGATCTCTACCAGGTCTGCATACACGTGGATGACTAGGTGATGCCCTCTGACTTTGGAGCCAAAGCTGCAGTGCAGTCACGTGGGCATGACTGTGACGTGAAACTACACTGGCCAAGGTGGATGGTGGTGCAGCCAGGGTCTGCATCCTTCCTGTGAGCTACTGCTGGAGCACAGGTGTAGGGTGTTCCACACAGAGAGCAGTGAGGTCATCGGAGCCCCATAGTGTCACTAGCACAGTGAGATTTCCAGTTTCTTTCGGAGTCAGACCCACTAACCTCACCGTAAGCTGTGATAACTTATCGGATGATCATGGTGAGTGATGTTGGGTGAGGCTCTGCTGACTCCCCACCCCTGGTTCTTACAGAACATGAGGCTGTTGAAAGAGAGGAAGACTTTCTTCTCTCTCACGTCCCAAACAGCAGGGTTCTATCCCCCACCTGCCCAGCACAGAGAGCTCTGCTGGCTGCTTACACTAACTAGTAACAGGGTTGGTTTCCATCATCCATACCACCATGGGGACCAGACTTCATGCCACTGGCATCTCAACCCACCCCTTGCATGTATGATAAACAGCCAAAGGCTCCTGCCAGCACAGCCTGTTCACCCCAGGGAGGCTAGGCAGGCTGTATACTTTTTCCTGTGCTGGGACCACAGCTACGTATGACAGATGTGTCCTGCCACATCCTTAAGTCAGCTCAGGCTGGGTGACTGGGGTGAATAGGAGTGACCCAAGTCCTCAGTGTCCCAGGGACTTTGAAGTTTTTGTATAGGGAGGTTGTGCCTGCATTGTACACTGTGTAGACCAGGAGTTAGAGATGGTTGTGAGCTATGGGGATGCTGGGAAGAAAACCCAAGTCTTCTGTAAGAGCAGCCACCACTCCTAACCACCCAACCATCCCCTCCGTCACCTCTCAGCTGCCCCCTGCTTTACAATGCAAAGGCTGGTCCCCAGTCTAGGAAAGTACCAGGGTTCCTAGACCTCCTCACACCCAGGGCTGTGGAGCTACAAGAAGGGGGTAGTATTGAGGTGGCCAGCCTGTGAAGACCCCTGTGCTTCTGTATCCCCTGAGCACTGTGCTGGTGTCCCCTGCAGTTGGTGGTCCTGGCCGTCGAGGATGTTGCCCTGGCACTGATGGAAATCAAAGTGTGTGACAGCCAGGAACACGTAGTCACGGTCTCCCTTCGGGACGGTGAGGCCACCCTGGAAGTGGATGGTACCAAGGGCCAGAGTGAAGTGAGCGCTGCACAGCTGCAGGAGAGACTGGACGTCCTCGAGAAGCATCTGCAAGGCACTCTGCTTACCTTCGTTGGAGGCCTGCCAGGTAGGGGCGCTCTCGTCTGATCGCTATCGTGGGCATCCCCTGGACCAGTATTGGCTGACTTGCTTCACACATGGGCTGTGCTAATGACTGAGATGGGGTTCTACTTATTGGAAATATTCCCTGGCTTCTCTGCTGGAGTGGGAATTCAGTTCTCTGAGTCACCCACTGGGAGGTGTGGCCTGGGAGTCCAGGAGACCAAACACAGAGGGGAGGGTTAGCAGGTGATGCAAGAGTCAGGTAGCTAAACTAACTACTGCTGCCAGGGAGCTGCAGCCTTCGTAGCCGACAGAGCGTCTGCCCGCCCTTCTTACATCTACCAGAAACAGCCTCCTTCCACAGACCCACAAGGGGAACGGGGTGATAGCCAGGGAGAGGCCTGTGTCCTCTTGCTAGCCCAGTCTTTACTTTTAGCAAACAGGCTCTCTGACATTTTTTGTTTCTTAACCAATAAGACTTCAAGGGAGATAAAGCATGGGAACTCACAAGGCAGATAGACAAACCATATGCATGCATGCCTGGGAGGGGAGCTTGAGGGGTGAAGACACCCCCACGTGCGTGCCTGGGAGGTTAAGGGTAAAGATATTGTATGCCCGTACAGATCTGTATCCCCATGGAATGGTACCATGAGCAAAAGCCCTGCAGAGAGAATGCAGGCAGGGCTGGCCGTAAGCAAAAGAGAGAATGGTAAATGGGACTCCCTGGATTTCTGCTCAGTATTTGGTCTCCCACTGCTCAGATGTCCCAGTGACTTCTGCGCCCGTCACGGCATTCTACCGTGGATGCATGACCCTGGAGGTAAACCAGAAGGTCCTGGACCTGGATGAGGCCTCCTACAAGCACAGTGACATCACCTCACACTCCTGCCCACCTGTGGAGCATGCCACACTCTAGCACCCATGCACAAGGGGCCTTTGCACCTTCCCAACGGCAAAGGGAAGCGGAGGTATGGACACACTGGCTCCTCCCAAGCAGGTCCGGCAACACTGGAGCAGGTGGGCTACTGCCCTTGGGGCTATTTTTTTTCCTTGAGATATTTCTTTGCCTTGTAATATATATGTACATAATGGGACTGGTATCAGGTCATTGGTTGCTCCTAGAGCCTGCTGGGAGCTGGCTAGCAAGGGTTGGGCTGGAGGGCTGAGTGGATTTGAAGAAAATAATTCTGTTATTTTTATTACCACATGCTTCTTTCTGATTCTAAAGTATGGAAAAATAAAAATTTACAGAAACCTTTTTAACCCTGGGTTGGTCACGATCTATCCTGGGCGTGTCTCAGGACTGAGCTGCATTTGGGGCAAATGGACTGAGAGCAGCTGAGAGCATCATGGCAGAGGCCCACAGCTGAATGGGCCTTTCCTGGGATCCTTGTGTCCCAGGACAGGCAGCTGTGGACTGTTCCAGGAGCCTCTCCTCACAGGGATGAGGGCAAGGGCTGGAACCAGGTTCACCAGCAAGCTGCACAACCTCAGCTTTTTCTGCAATGGAGGCAGTCCTACATGCCTCCCCATCAGCCCCCACAGAGAGAGCCCTTCTTAAAGCTGCCCATGGCAGCCAGGAAGTAGGGGTGGTACCTATACATATTCTCTCTTCTCTTCCTATGCTCTCCATTTGCCTGTCTTGGCTGCCCCCTGTTCCATTTAAAAGAAAAGATCTGGTTTTCTGTTTCAAGGCTACTCTACGAGCAGAGCCAAGGGAATTGCACCCTCCCTAGGCAGCAGGAGACACAAGAAACGGCAGCCTAGTGTCTCTGAGCTACCGTTTCTTCATAAGGGAAGGAGTTAGAAGCCGCTGATTTTAACCCCAGCATCCTGTAAGTTATGGTGAAGACAGGACAGAAACAACACTGTTGAACACAACTCCGAGAAGGTAGGAAGTAGAGCCCTGCCCGGGGCTCCTAGCTGCCTCTGTTTGCCTCAGGCAGCCACAGAAGCCCACAGCCTTCTAGAGGCCGCATCCCCTAGACCTCTGGTTTTTCCATGTGTTGGAGGCAACTCTGGAATGTTTTCATGGAATGTTCTCATGAATGTCCTCCAAGCAGTCTCAGATCTCTCCAGGAGGTCACGAGGCCAAGAACAGAACAGGACAAACGCTGGTTTGGAGCTGGACCACACAGACGAGGGTAGTGGGGAGCAGCCACATACTCGGCATTCCTTATCTGCCCTAGGGAGGCAACCACACTGTATGGGAAGAGCAGACACCTCTCCTCCCCGATGTTGCATCCATCCTCAGCCTTGGCTGGCACCAAACCTTACACCATCTCCTGCCAAACAAAGCACTAATCTTCTGTCAGCTGCTGCCATGGGATCCTCACTTCCCTGGGCCCAAGTGGTCAAACTACAGGACACCAAGTGGGGTACCAGGAAGCTTTTAAGGGGAGATGGGGTGAACTGTTCAGAGGAAGAGGTAGGATGGACTATGATCTTTATGGTCTGAATTCATTGCGAAGTTCTCTTTCTAGGGAAGAACTTCTACATTTTCATTGTATCCTTGAGGCGGTTTTCTTCAGCCTGGGACCCGTCTGTGCATTTGGGCCACTTGTCAGCACCCCATCCTTCCTCAGACACATAGTAAATATGTCTCCAGATTTTTCCAAATATACCTAGGGCAAAGTCACCTTTTAGAAAGAGTTTCAGGGTAGGAGACCATTTCACTGTATTTTCTCAACACAAAGCCTGCAGATCTGCATTTAAACAAAGGAAAGCAATGTGCTCTAATTGGAAGGTACTGGAGACACCCAGGATCACAGGATCCCTTCCCAGAACAGACAATAACTTCCTACAAACTTAGCAGAATGACCATGTGAAAGAGAAGCAAGTATGAGACCCAAGCAGGCCCAGTAAAACATCCTCGGCTGACCAACAAGGATGTGCACACCGAGGCATATCTGTGGGCCGTGTCATCCATTACCAAGCTATTGGTAACTGGGACTGGGGAAGCAAAGCTATAATGGCTCTGTGACCCACAGAGGAGATGGTGCAAGTGGAACCCTGACTCAGGCAGGCCGATCCGGCAAGGCAGAAGAGCTCAACGTCTCTCACTAGCAGGGCATGACCCACCCCATTCACACCCACACACACTCATGTGAGCCCTCAACGGGTACCATACTGCAGACTCAGGACAACCCTATCTTACATCAACCCAAAAGCAGATGCAAGTGACCAATTCCACGACAAAGCAGGTGCCCGAGAACAAATCTCACAAAGCAGCGCAGAAGCCAAGCATGGAGCAGACCCTCGGGTGACATTCAAAGAGGCAAAGTCATCAGGGGCTGAGCCAGAGCCACCAATCATGCAGGCTCCGGTTGGCTTCCCAGCCTTGTCCACACAAAGGAAGGACATTCAAGAGTTTCTGCCCGCACTGCAGGTTAGTGTGGATTGTGGTGTGGGGGCAGCTCTGGAGACTGGGGTACAGGGCCTTACATTCTGGCAGAGACAAGGGAGAAAGACATTTTTGTGGCAATGAACACAACTGTTGACCTTGGCGTGCAATGTTTCATAGTTCTTGGCTCCAATGAGCATGGGCTCACTGCAGCTTTATTGTTCTTCAGAGACCCGGGGGCCAGCTTTAGGAAGTTCAGAGGTCAAGCCCATTGGGCCCAGGACACGGGACTGAATGTAAAACTGGGTAGTGTAATATAAAAATAGATAGGGGGTAGGACCCTGCACCCATCAGCCACCAGAGCTTGGCGCTTCTCTGTACACTCACGACACGGATGAGGTGCCCTTTGTCCCAATCCTATAGAAAAGCAGCCCACTATGTGGCTTCAGCAAGGATACCTCCTTGTGCATCTGGTCAACCTCATCTTCCTGAACCTCACTCTTACACGTGACAGGAATCTTGCCATTGTTGTGTAGGTACCCTTCTTCTACAGCCAGTATTGTGGCATGTCTATGCCCCTTGTGAGATCTGCTTAACTGTGCACTCCGGGTAGACGCAAGGCAAGGGACAGAGCCAGCTGACCCCTGGTCCCATCAAGAAGCAGTACCAAAGCCCACCCCCTTAAAGTCTAGAGACAATTTTGTCCTGCTGCCTCCAAGTGTAATTCTTTGGAGACTTTCACAAATGCCTCTGAAACCGTAGTCTTAAGAGGTATTAAATAGCCTAGTATAAATATAAATAGGTAGACTATTGTTTGCTATTGGTCCAGGGTCATAGGGAGGCTGAGTTCAGGCTCCTGGAGGCTGTATGAAAGCAAGACTATGCTGGATCCAAGGTCAGCCAGCATCAAATAGAAACCAAGATACTCACTTTCTCAGGCTACATGGCCAAACTCAATAAAATGAGAATAATGCATAATGATCAGTCCTCAGACCAATGGCTGCCTCAGCCCTTGAGGGATTGGTGAGCAGTTCTTGGGTTTACAGAATATCTTCTTCACAGACAGGCCTGTCACCTTCCTGTGCTGTGGGCCTTTGTGGGAAACCCTGTTTAGAAAACTTCTCTAGCCTGCCTGGGTGAGATCTGCTGGACAGAGTAGCCTTGACCAGCAGGGGGCGCAGGAGCTGCATCTCCACTGGCCGGTCCTCTCTACCTCCACCTGCTAGTTCTGGACCTCACAGAGAGGGAAAGAAAGGCTAATGAATGAGCCAGCGGCAACAAATCAGCAGAGCACCGCAGGGGGCATGAGTATGAGATCTGGAGTCTGCCCAGAGGTGGACCTTGCACAGAGGCAGAACTCAAAGGCCTCTAGAAGGGCTTTGGGTGTTTGCTCAGGCTGGCTTTCCTTCACATGGGAAAAGCAGAGCTCAGGGGTTCGCTCTGGCCCTTCTCGGGACATACTCACAGAAGTGGTTTGGTCTCTTCCTTCTGGGGGATGTGCTCATGGAGGTCTATCAACCTGTAATGCCTTTCCTGAAGGAACAATCTTTACCAAAGAGGTGACTGGCCACCCTCTCATGGCAAGAAAATAGCAACTGAGAACCAACCAAGACTAGAGGTGAAACAGAATGCTGGCAGGTGCAGAGAAGCCCTTCTGGGTGGTGAGGCTAGGGTCTAGTGTGCTTTGCTTCATGTCTTCATTTGGGAGAGGGGACAGCAGAGGTGGCATTGGGCCAGACAGCTGACTCTGGCCTGTGCTGGCAGAGGGTGTGTCCGAGAGAAGAAAGCGCACAACTTCAGCGTCGAGATACTTTGAGTTCTCGGTGAGGCTGGCTGCAGAGGCAGACTTTCTGGGTATGGCTTTATTAGCTTTGTTTTATTTCTGGCAACCCCAAACCAAGTTAATTTTAGATGTACTACCTCCGTGTCAGGGTGCGTAGGGGGGAGGCTTCTCCCCGGGGAGGAAGTAGGTTGGTGTGCAGAGTGAAGGAGCATTAGGAGAAGGCCCATGGCTGGAGGTGCACTGGGAGGAAGACTCTGTGTCCTCAGGCCGAGAGAGGTCAGCAGAGGACGAGGCCGACAGGGCACTGGAGGGCTGCAATTAAACAGAGAGGCGTCCTCGGTCAGCAGGTGGGGGACTCAACTACGCCCTCCAGAATGTATGCCAGTATCACGTTGGCCCAGTACCCTACCAGACCAGGAGCTACCTGCTCACCAGGACCCCCAGGAAGCCTTCCAGGCCCAGGAACAGCCAAGAAAAGTCAAGTGTCACCCTATCTGGTCCCTGAATGGCACAAACATGACTTCTAAGGCTGCTGTGGAACACCCAGGGAAGGTCTCCAAAGTCCAGACTTCTTTGGCCCACTTAACCTAGTCAACTTTCACTAGCAGTGATTTAGAAGAGCCAGGGATGGCCTAGAGTCAGGTGATAGGCACTTACCAAAGAGAGCAAGATCATTAACATCCCCAGCACAGCATAGTGGCTCATAGGTCAGTGACTATAAATGTGGTCAGCCATAGTCTAGACATTTAAGGAAGATGCTTTTCAGATGTAATTAACATTTAAACAGCTCTTTACTGTTGGAGAGTCTGCTCCCATCAGTTGCAGACCTTAAGAAAAAAAGGCAGCTACCCTGAAGGAGAAAGAAATCCTGCCCGAGTGTGACCGTGGGTTAGAGTTCCAACGGTGTTTCCCTGGTCCTAAGGATAGTGGACTGGCCTCTCCTACACTGAGAGTCAGTCATTAAAACAAATCTCTCGGGGGCTGGAGAGATGGCACAGTGGTTAAGAGCACTGACTGCTCTTCCAGAGGACCCGAGTTCAATTCCCAGCACCCACATGGCAGCTCAGAACTGTCTGAAGATCCAGTTGCAGGGGATCTGACACCTTCACACCATTGCACATAAAATAAAAAGTTAAATAAACCATAAAAAATATTTAAAAAAAAACAAAAAACAAATCTCTCATGTATATACACCTTCTTGTATTCTGTCTCTGAAGAACCCCAACAGACGCCCTCCCAAAATCAAGGATGAGTTCACGTGAGAAGAGGAATTTGGGGAACAGCACAGATCTGAAGTAAATCTTTTCTAGTTCTTTTTTTCTTTCCCCCTCTTAAGTACTAAAAGTTTAAAGCTTAAAATTGGTATTTAAAAAAACAAAGCAAAATTCTAAACTGAGAGTTTTAAAGTGACTCCTGTATGCTATGTGATGCTCCTGCCAGCTGTATGCTGTGTGGTGCTCCTGCCGGCTGTATGCTGTGATGTGATGCTCCTACAGGCTGTATGCTATGATGCGGTGCTCCTGTCGGCTATATGCTGTGATGCGGTGCTCCTGCCGGCTGTATGCTGTGATGCGGTGCTCCTGCCGGCTG